CCAAATTCTCATTAGTTCATACAAAACACCAAAGTGAAAGGCTGCAGCTTAAGAGCGATGTGGAAAGCTAAATTCTAAACAAGTCTTTTGGCTCAGGTCAGAAGCTGGGGTGTGGTTCTCAGCATCTTGGAGGCTGCTTTTTCAGAGACATAAGCTTTGATCCAGAATTAATTCAGCTATATATCTCTCTGCTTCTTCTGTGCTGCAGAAAAATTATGTTGGTGCCTCTGGAAAAATATTTGCTTCTCTTCGATTGCCTGTTACTTTATGGGCATCTGCCATGGTCTCTCTTCAGGATGTCCCTTCCCAGGTCTCCTCCTGTCTCAGTCTCGTAGGAACCCAGCTTTCCCTGTTCCCTCCCCTCGGTGCACGGGTACCTATGCAAAACTTTGCCTTCAAGCTTGGCCATCAGGTAGAGCCAGCCATCTGCCAACCCCTGGCAGGAAGCACTGGGCCCTGTATCACCCTTTCCTACTGCACTGTGGGCAGATTTTCCTAGATGTCCAGGTTGACAGTTAACCCCGTCTTGCAGCTCTGCTCTGCACTTCCAAAGTGCCAACTCCATCCTGCTTTCCTAGTTGGATTTCCCTCTGACGTAGGCTCACTTTTCAGCTTCTTTTCTCACACCCCTCAGCGTTCCACCTTCGCTGCTAATGCTTCAGCTCCAACCTGCTTCCTGAACTCCACTCTCTCCTTTCCAAATACAGGACCCTCAGTTCTCCTGTGCAGGTCACCAACCAAACACCACTGAACCACGGTCTCCTGGTCTAAGTTTGCCATTTCTCTAAGACTTGCATTTTCCATTACTGGTATTATAATTTGATTCTTACTTGCTTTATATACCCTGGTCTAACGAGGAGCCAAATTTATAGATTCTATGCTAAAATTTTCCTTCTTTTTAATCTATTTCCTCTTGAGTCTCCTGGCATTACTCTAAGAGATAGTCTGACTTGGTCTTTCTCTTTTGAAAGAGAAAGTTCAGAGAGAGCCACAACTACCCAATTAAGCCAGAAATGAAGCTATTACAAGAATGGGAGATTCAGCATTTCTGTAAGCTTTTAATTTGGGACTGAACGTTATTTCCACCAGTACTTCTAGAATTAATTAAATTAACTTGATAGGAATCAGAAAGAGAGTCAGGGCTTGGCACCCACTGTAAAGGACAGAATTAGATTTGGAGGTTGTGCAGCCACAATGCTGAAAGGGAAAAGGCTGAGCATTTTGTCATGGCTTGTGAAACATCAGTTCACACTGTCCCTGGTTTTATTACTCTGTTGCAGTACTCTGCTGAGAGAAATATAAGGACCTTTATGGCAGCAGATAATTCAGCCCTGACCCATTCCCGGCTGTGTGACCATAGACAAGTGGCTCAGTCTCTCTGAGGCGTGGGTCTTTTCATTTATGAAGACAATTGGCCTAGGCCAGCAGTTTTTACACTGTGTATTTATGAGCACTGGAGGGTTGGAAGGTTTGAGCTAGCAAGTGGGTATCTGGAGGTAAAATCCCCTCTAATCTGCCTCTGTCCACCTCTTCTATCTTCTCTCTTCTCTCTGCTCTCCCTCCCTGTACCCCCACTCTCAATTTTGAAACAAAGGTTATTTGAGCTAAATGCTGTACTCTAAAAATGGCCCTCCACATTAGCTTACCTTTATGATTTCTTTTAATGCTGAAAGACTGGTCTAAATTCACAGGAGTTTATTTGGTTTGGGGAGGTGCGTGTGTTTTAAAATTTCTTACCAAAATGTCTACATATGTGGACCATTCACAAAACATGTTCTTTTCACTGACTGTCACAGAATTGACATGAAATATCCAACTGCTCACATCCCGAGGGCTGGAGAAGACACTGGAAATGGGCCCAAAGCGGACTTGTCCTTGGCCAGGCCTGAACTCTGAGACACTCTCTGCACACGGCAGAGAACTGACCCCTTGAAGTTTGCCCTCTTGCCTTTGCCTGGCCCTGAGCTGCCTGGCCCCGCACCCTCTCCAGATGCGGACTGCACTTGCTGCGCGCGTGCAGGGTGCATGGCATCTCACGCGGCAGTTCCGGCCGTGCCCGCGGCTCGCTGTCCCTCCGGATGGTCCCACTCTGATGCGAGCCCCTCTTCTGCATCTTAGTTCTTTCCCCCTTGCCCGCCACAGTTCCTTGGGCTGTTAGCACCCAAAAGACACTTTTAATTAAAAACAAAATGAAAAAATCCTATCGAAAGAGAACCAACTGTCTTTAGAGATCTCCCAGGAAAATGCAAGAGATGAACAAAAGATACAGTGGATGTTTAAATTTTTTTTAAATTTTACAGTAAAAACCACATTACTATTAATCCCCTTGGAAATGCCCACCCTCTCTCTCTCTCTCTCTCTCTCTCTCTCTCTCTCTCTCTCTCTTTACAAGGTGTGATAAAAATACAATGAATGCTGCTGCCCAGTGCTATCTAAAAGAAAGGCATTGTGTTACTCATCCACCTTATTTACTACACATGACCCTGTGTGGCTTCTGACTCTTCCCCAAAGTCCAAACGACCAGTTCAGGACAGAGAGGCAGCTGCCACAGCACAACCAGAGGCATTCATGTCAGAGGTATTCTAGAACTGCTTCACAAAGTTTCAAGGATGATGGCATCAGTGTGTTTGAAATGACAGGGAGGGTGTTGAGGGAGATCAGTGGCTGTCTTAGACTGTAATACGTTTTTTAAATTGAAAATCGCCGTATTGTTCAATCACACCTCATATAATTCCAAAATAACAACTATAAATAATTGGCTGTTTTACACCACACGTGCCCTCAGTGCCAACGTTGCTGTCTCTTTTAGCATTAATATTCTATCAAGTCTAGTGATGGACAACTCACCATTCATGCCAAAGAGAAACAGGAAAAGTCTTCCTCTCTGAAGCACTAAGACATTTGTTTCAAACAGTTCTCTGGAAATTCTCAGTGTGTTTTGGGTAACTATAAATTTGAGACTACAAATACAGGAATGCGAGAACTCACAAAGGCGTTATTGATTTTGACACTGAAGAACTCCATTATTGCTGAGTGTGGTTGTGCGTCCTTGCAATCGCAGCACTTGGGAAACTGAGGGAGGAGGATCACGGGTTTGAGGGCGACATGGTGGGTTCAAAGCTAGCTTGAGCTACATAGTAAGATCCTATCTCAAAAAAAACTCCATTATTTAAAGTTAAATTTTAATTTCACAATTAAGGTATTACTTTGGGGAAAATTGAGGTCAATAAGGTAGCTCGTATGTTCCTCAAAAGTGTAGTGGAATAAATCTGTATTTCATGCAAATTTGCTATTTTTCCGATGCCCACAGTAGGGTAACGGTAGAAGGTAGAATGTTCCGGATGCTGTGTTCTCTGTCCCCATTCCTCTTCTAACCAGGGATAATATCAAATGAATCTCATTGTCCAATGTTTACTGTAAATTAAAGCAAGAAGTTGGAGCTATGGAACGCATCCCACATTCTACGCGACTACTGCCTCCTGCCCCTGACAGCAAATGCCAACTTCAGCAAACATCATCATTAATAAATGTCATTGAGAAATGCATATATTGAGTTTTATTCATTCAAAGCAAACATAACTCAAATAATATGGATTTCCAAGGGATTACACTTGGTTTCCTATTATTTTCCCTACTGGTAGACGTACTGTGTAACATTTTAAAGGTACTATTTTAGAACCTTCTTTATCACATCATTATCCAATCAACTTTGATGAACTAATGATAAAATACCCGTGACCAAAAGCACCAGATGACTTTCACCCGAGTTATAAAGGCCACACAGCATTGCTAAGGGTACCACTGCTGTTTGAAATTTGAAAAAGTTTAAGGCAGTAAAGCATTTTAACTTTTAAGTGAACTCTTATCGAAAGTATTGATCCAATTTTAAGAAAGCGTAAATGTGAAAATAGCAAAGGCAGTTTGTGCCCCAGATGAGTATCAGCTCATTGAAGATTGAGAGAGATAACTAGTTGCCTGGCTCTATCACCTGCACTTGCAAGTCAGTCCAACTGCCACTTCTTTTCAAAGCAGTCGAGTCTCAGACTGCACGGAAAACATTTATAATATAACTACTGGTCACTGAGTTGCCAGGATTTATCCCTACACCAAGTTTCAAAACATTGCTTTTTAATTTGGACTTCATGAATGTGAAGACTTACAGAATCCACCTCTCTGCACATTTTTAAAAAGTCACTACAGAAATTTGCTGTTTAATGTAGAGAAATGCAAAGAACTGTTAGCACTTACTACAGAGAAAAGCACGTTTCGTGTCACAAATTTCAAATAATAACCCACTGGGTTCTTGAAATTCTAACCTTAGCTTCATTGTGTTTAAAATAAAATGTGCCTGCTTCTCTTGCCAGCCGGTAACCAGGAGACAGGAGGCGTGTCCTGTTGCTGGTGTCAGTGTGCTTTATTCCTGAGGGATGGACACCTTATGTGTTCCAGGCTAGGTTGAAGGCCACCAGCATAGAAAATGAAAACACTTGCATTTAACAATAGAAGACAAGTAACAGAATATTTATTTCATAAAAGAATGCATAAACCAAGAACTTCCCATAGAGTCAAAATAAGATTTAGCAATACTGTAGGTGCCCCGGGTTGTTTTGTGTGATTAAAACATGGCACATTTGATGAGTTTATGTCTTGCTGATATATACACCACAAAGGCAACGGCCAGCTCCACTAATCGCCTGTGAAAACAAATCTGAAAACGGCAGCAAAAATGAATAGCGATTTCACAAGTATGTCTGTGTGTTACTCAATAATGTGGCTTTAGGATTAAGGCAAAGACACTCAGGGTATTTGATAACTACGTGTTGAACTAATATATTGGATTAAATATGGTAAAATTAGTTACTTCTACAGTTATAATCCCATTGTCAGCTTTGAAACTGACAGCTGTGTTGCTCATTGCTTTTTGGGTCTTGTGATTAGAATGTGATGCTGCGTAACAACCAGTTTGCATTGCTTGACCTGTTTTGTTCATGTATTTGCAGGCGAATGGACACAGTTTTGTACATATGGAACATGAAAAAGCTGTATTACTACTGAAGAGTTTCCAGAACACAGTAGACCTAGTTATTCAACGTGAGCTTACTGTCTAAATATTTTTTATAAATAGTGGAGATCTGTCTAGCCAGACCTAATGTTCAAGAAGAAATTTATACATAGAAACAAATTTTGCCAATTGCTGGACCAATGGCAAACATTAGTGCCAAATGTATATCACTGTATGTTAGCACTGATCATCCTTCAAAATGTTAACTCTATAAATACAGTGTCCATGTGCTTATGTACGAGTTTTAATTGTCAGCCTCTGGCTGTGCATTGGTGCAGTTTTGTTTCTGTTTTTATTTTTTAATCAAAATCAGTTTCTTCTCCAAGTGGATTTCATATAATTTCAGAGCACGGAAGCACACACAAGCTCTTTATGAATTTTGCTCTCCATCAGAAACACTGCCTCAAAGTTGTATATGCCTTTATATAGAAAATACAAGTATAAAGAATTGTAATTCCCATAAAATATTTCTAGCACAGGTATATGTTGGCATATATACAAAAAGAATATAGAGAAAAACGATATTTTCATAAACAACATCTCGGATTGAGAAAGAAAATATATCTTAAAATAAGACTTTACTATATTGAATCTTTTTCAATAAAAATTACATGATAATGCCTTATGAAAGTAACTGTACATATGGTATAAAGTGTTTATATTTGGTTCCATATTCATTTGCTAAATTCTCATAACAGAGTGAAATATTTCATAAATGATCCACTTACCTCTGGGACCTGAATAAAATAGGATGAACTAATTTGTTCAATAACTGTAGCTAATTATAATACACGAAAAGTTAAGAAATAGACTAAAAGTCATTGTAGATAGGACTTTTTCACCACAAACTCAAGCAGTGAATGATGGGTGGCCAGAAAGGTATTGTTTTCTTTCTTTCAAGTTTGTGTTGATTATAAACTGTAGCCCCTGGTATTTCTTTACTTGCCAGTGTGGAATTTCTTTGTGTGCTGCTTTCTTTAATTTGCAGTTGAAGAAATTTATCCTTAAGGAAGTCTTGTTGGAAAGTTATGATGGGCGATTTGAACACTTCAATATTTAAATATGAAACTTCAAATGTAATGTCTCAGAGCTGTGGTTGCTTTGTATTATTAATTCCAATGCCAATTTTTGTGAAGAGAAATACATAAAACATTTCCCCTCCAAAAGTGTCAAGGTATATAACATTCTGAATATTCTCACTAGACAAGCATATTTAACGTAGACATTATTTACTTTCACACTGGAACTATTTTTTCTATGAATGATCAAAATTCATTTTATAATCCTTTAAAAATATTTCTTTATATACTATTTGTAATTTGATTAAAATATTAATTAGAAATTCCAGAACAACTCTCCAGAATTGCCTGTATGCATTCTCTCTCACATTCCGACCTAGGTTATACATATATATATATATATATCAGATTTACTTCACATGCTATGTTTACAAACATTCTATTGGGATTTTACAATAGAATCCCGTATCGGTGACACCAGAGCTCTGAGAATAATATTTGTAAGTTAATGTTTTATGGGGACATTGGAATATTGTATTTTTATAGGTTCTGTTAAAATGAGTGTTGCTTTTAGAGGTACAGTGCTATTTTTTGGCATCTAATTTGTCACTTGAAGGCAAATGATACTTCATTTTATAGATGATGCACTAATTTTTATGTTGCTTTGCATCAGGGTGACTGGATATCATGATTTAATAGGCTTTGACAGTTAGCTAGCGATTAAATGACTGGCCTGTGTAGTATATTTCCCAGAAGTAACTGTTCAGTGCATTTTCATATATTGAATGTTTCTGGTGAGAAATGTCTCTCAGAGCCTAATTCTCCTTATCAAAAAGTCATGCCACACTACTGTATCCAGATATTGTAGGCGGATCATCATTAAGCAGGAGCAAGGCCCTCCCCAGCCTTGCCAATCATTTAGAGGAAAAACACACTCCAGAATGTAGCATGAGGGCACTGAAACACCTCAACTCATCACATCTGTGGTTTAATTTTTCATAGGAGGGGTAGGGAAGTAGCCAGAGGTAGGATCCACCACGTCTCTGTCTTCTGTCAGGTTCCACAGCGACCCCAGAGCATGAGAAGATACTCCTGAGGCTCTGATCTAAGGGGATCGGGACCCTAGGCCACACCCTTGCCACTCCCCTATGACAGCAGTGTCTCGGGTGAATGCTTTAATATTTCCTGTTCTGCAGTTCAGCCGTGAGGGAAAGAGGAAAAGGATCCCTTACCAACTGGAAGAGAAACCCAATATGCCAAAGCCCCTCACTGTCAGGTGTACTGCTGTTCTGTCACTGAAGAGAAGCCTGCTTTTTTGTTAAGCTTTCCTGAATTGAATCATTGATCACTTGAGGGGTAAAAACTAATTTATTTTATGGTTGACTCGAAATCAACAATTGATTTTCAGTATTGATTATTGGGGGGTATTGGTTTGTTTCCTGAAACTAGAACCTCGTTCATGTTAATAATAACAAAAGAATAAACGGGCATGCCTTTATAAAAAGAGAAACAACAACAAAAATAAAGAAAGGAATACATGACGGCTCCAGTAGACTCAGCCTCTTGGCTTCTATTGGAATTTTCCTGCTGAAGAAGCTGTTTATGCGAGATGGACTGGTCAGATGAAATGAAAGGGACTGAAAAAGCTTCTAGGTGGTAAGACCGAACACTGAAAGTTATTACCAGAATCACTGCAGATCTCGTAAGTCAAATAGGCCCTAGTTGTAAGCATTCAAAGAACCATTTACAAGACTTATAATAAATACTTCGTCACGAAAGCTTTCTTGTGATAATCTCAGCACTCTAGGCAACATAAGACGCCTAAATGCACAGTAATTTCAAAATATGTGTATTTCTGACAAGGAATACTATTTGCATCTGGCTAATTTGTGTCCCAGTTACTTAGAATTTTAATGATGTAGAGCTTGGATGGGCTCTATTGTTCTCAACTGTACCTTGAAGTACCACCTTCCGGCTGGAAAACTGCTCTGAAGAGGAGGTAATCAATCAACAGTAACTTGTCTTTAATTTTACATCACTAATACAACTGCTCATTTAAAAGGACTGAAATATTTTTTACCATGTGAGGTAGAGGAGCAAGATAATAGATTTCCATCTTCAAACATTAAGTGAAAAATACTTAAATATTTAAATATTCAGATGATTGGCTAAAGGAAACCAGAGGAAGTGTATTTGAAATTATAAAATCAATTTAATATTGCCACTAAAATTTAAAGCTTTGGAAAAATAGCATACTCACTACTGTGTCCTTCCATTGGCTTTTAATGTGGGTACACAGGTCAAGAATGCCTATTCCGACGTCTACTCTTATCCAAACTATGACATAACCAGGTGAAAACTCATATTGGTATAGGACAGCCACCTTAAGTCCTTGTTGTAAATTCAAGCTGATGGTACATCTGACTGGTTCCTCAAAAATCACAATAGCAAGTTTACTAAAGCACTGTATTAAGTGAAGTTAAAAAGTATACAAATAGTAAAATCCAGTAAGTTAAGATGATGGCTTACTTATCTAGAATAAAGAAAAGCAAGGCAAGGTTCTAGTCAAGTTGCTCTCACAGCCATGCTAAATTTCTCTGAGCCCAGTGAAATACTCAGATACTGTGTTAGCGATGTGCCCTTCCTACAGTTGTAGCTACCTGATCAGCTGGGATTTGGGAAAAAGTTTCCAGATTCAAAATCACTTGTACAACTTGTTCTCCTTGGCAGTATAATTTCTTTTGATTAAGAATGCATCGTGCTTTTCTCAGAATATTTCCCATCATCCTCCCCACCCCAGAGTAGACATGGCAAGAAAATAGGGCTTGGCTGTGGACCGTGGGCGTGGACCATGGAGAGCATGTCGGTTAGCACTGTAGATACCCCATTGGCCTTGCTGTCACCCTTTCAGCTCCATTTTGATGGAAACCATTCAGAGAACACATTCTCCCACACACCCCAATGCATGTAACCAAGCTAGATGACATGGAGTTTTCCAGTTCCGTCCTGAAACTTGCGAGACCAACCTCTTTTCATTGTTACTCTGCCTACTCAAAGTCCCTCTGGCTCCCATGCCTTTCAGAGGCCACGGATTTCTTTCAGGAGCGGTGGCATTAACCAAAACTCCAGTGCCACTGACAACAAAAATGAAACTTACAGGCAAGGCCTGAGGGTGGCAATGCCTTAAGAGAACTCTTGTTTCCATTTTTTTTAATTATTTTTTTCTCTTTTTTACATGTTGGATTTTGCCATCTTAAGGGACTTTGTTTCTCTGAGCCCGCTAGAATCAAATCGTAAAATTCTTCTCTTCCGAGTGCCACCAAAATGCGCTGTGACCAGTGCCTCCTGCAGACTGGCAGGGAGCTCAGGCGTCCCAGGCACGATGTTAGAAGGAGCTGCCCAGAAGTGCAGAGACAGGAGCAGCGGCTCGTCCTCGCACACAGGCTGGCCTGTCTTCCTTCACTCTCGCACGCCTGCACAGAGAATGTTCTGGGAACTCTCCTGAGAGGACAAAAAAGGCACGGCTTCCCCTTTGGAAAAATCAGTTCTGAAACGGGGGTGGGGAGCAGAGCCTCAGTTTTGAAGGAACATAAAGTGAAAATACAGGAATACTGCATCCCCTGGGTTTTAGCTGTGATTATTTTGAATTGCTCTGAGAGCAGTTCTGTGAGAAATAAGGAGAAAGGGGAAATGATTTACTGGTTGCAATTTTTAAGGCATTTCTTCAGCTAATCAGTTTCTCCGGTTGGATTCTGTGTAGGTCCACCAGCCCATGCTCTTTGTGACAGCACGTTAAATGCGAGCAAGGTTTTTTTTTAAAAAATGACCTGGATTTAATGCAGTCCCACAATAAGTGGGTATTTCTTCATGAATTTCTCCCAAAATCGACCATCTAACACACCTTTTGGGGGCCTAATTGCGTTCATGGCAGCGCCTCAGAAAGCAGAAAGTTGTGACATTTGGGCAGCATTTAAATAGCAAGAAAATAGTCCATTTCTGTGACTTGTTAGGCAGGCATTGGAAGCAACATTGGCCTGACTCAGAGAAAAAGCCATGGGTCAAATTTTCACAAGTGTAAGTTTTATACCTAGCATTGTTTCCTTTTTTAAAAAAATCTTATTTTCATCATTTAGATTAGTCTCATTCTCAATGGGTATACGAATTGGTGCTAAGGAAAAAAGTTAAATGAATCCTCCACTATTTGCCTAGTTTTGAAAGTATTTTTTGTCAGTGTTGTACAAGTGTATTGTTTGTGCTATGGTGTTTCTTTTTTTTTTCTTTCCTTTTTCTAAATAAAATGAGGAGTAAGCAGCCTAAAAGATAGCCAGGTATCTCTACACCTGGAGTGAAATATCTCTACACGGACTTCACTTTCATCAGCCAATGCATGTATTTTCTCTGCAGGAAAACAAGTAGCATAGCTGCAGCTCAGAAGCCTAAGGTATGTTCTTCATAAATTGACAACATTTGGAGACATTTCATTGAAAAGTATTACAAAAATATTCATCGCAGTGATACGAATACTCTAATAAGATATTTGTTGGGCATCAACTGCACACCAGGCACTGCAAGAAATAAAATGTAGTCTCCTCGGCACAGACTCTCAATGGAGGGGAAAGAGAAGTACGATGCAGTGTGGTGAGTCCCTTTGTCCCTGTGCAAATGGAGACAGCATCCTTAGCTTGTCGCGTATTCGTGGGTTTGAACATGGTGACCCATTTGGAGCGGCCAGCTGGGTTCCGTGACCCATAGGAGGTCACTTAGATGCTTGGCAGTGTGAAGCAAACACTGGAGAACTGAGACATGCCAGAGTGAACACCTTGCTGGATGAGGTCAGTGGAAAGCAGGACCCTTGGGTCGCTGCAAGAGGGGCTGTGGTTTTGTCAGTTTGTGAATGAAGAAGCGTGTCCCTTAGTCTGGTCCAGCCCTGTTCCTATAAACCCTGACAGGAAGAGAGAAGGCAACAGTAGTCAGCACTTGAACAGACAAGAGGTTCTTAATTGAAAAAAAAAATCCTTCTGTGCTGAGAGGTCACCAAAGGTCCCTCCTGTGATCCTGCAACTCAGCAGGCTGCCTTTCATATTTCTGTGCGATAAAGAATATCTTTCCCCCACACGATGGTCAGTCGACCCCATGAAAATACTGCTTCTGTGAGGTTGGGTCTCAGATCCACATGGACAGCTGCTTCCTCTTCCAAGGCAGGTATCATCCTCTGAGTCTAGGGTTGTTTTTCTTCCCCCTTCAAGGGCATCTTCTTCCCTGAGCACCTGCAGCCTCTGCCCACACCCCAAAGTTCCAGAATCGTATGCAGGCTTCGGGGTCCAGCTCAGACAGCACTACAACCACAAAACCGTCCCTGGCCCTGGTGGGAAGGAATCTCTCCTCTGGGTACTGCAGCATCTTGTACATGTTGCAGGATCCTTGCCCTCTGCTGAGATCGCAGCCACTTTTCGTTTCCTCTCAACTGAGAGAGGATCCGGCAGTCCTCAGCAGAGCCCTTGAACAGAAGGCTCCGGCTGACACATCTGCTTCTGCTTGCCCTGTAGCCTTAATTCCCTGGTGTCAGAAGCATAGCAGGTTCTCCGTGAATACTTGTGAAATGATTAAACAGATGACAGGCCGGGCCCATCAGTGCACTGCTTAAGTATTGAGAGAAATAGGGAGTTCACGTGCAACTTGCACAGTTAAGCCGCCAACCTCTTACCTTCTCATTTCACTCACCATTGTCAGTGTTGTAAAAAAAGAAAGAAGCATCTCAACTTGATTTTCTTCTCCTTGCAAGGATTTCTTCTAAAAGCTTTTGGACCTTTTGTGCCATTTTGGTGGTTATGTTTAACTTCCCTTTTATGTGTTCTGAAGACCTTAACACTGTCCAAAACTTTTAAGATGTGGCTTTTCCTCGTTTAATCAAAGCATACCATGTTTAGACTTCTGATTTATTTGGGTCTTACCTGTCTGCTGGGAAGAAGTCGTGCGAATCATTGTCAGGAAAATGTCCCAGAAAATGAATGTGTGGCATCGAACGCAGAGCCGTGGTTTCAGTGTCTAGAGATCATCATCCTCCTCCGTCGTTTTGCCAGGGCCCTCGAGGCCCTGTGGTGCCCCGAACAGGAACTAAGGAAAGGGCAGAACAGGGCTGACTCTGGCTTTGGGCTGTTTCTAAAATTTCTTCCACCTGTCCACTGTGGCTTTGCAACTTGGTAGATTCCTTGGCCTGCGCTCTTTGTACAGTTTGGAGGTAGGAAGACTAACAGTATCAAGAAAGAAATAGAGGTAGGATAGTTGAGAGCCCTTTCAGTTCTGAGCTGTAACTGCTGCCTTGTGCTGCCCATAAGAGGAAAAAAGTCTGTCCATAGCCTTCAGCCACAGTTCAGGGGCACAGTGTAGACAAGCTACAATCGGGTAGCATGTGCAAGACCCTGGGTTCGAGCCCCAGCACCAAAAAGAAAAGAATTAGTTTAATTGACTATCCAGCTAGACTACAAAAATTCAAGGTTACCTCGATAAAAATCACATTCTCCTCCCCAAATTTTTAGGGATCAGAATCTGGCCTGCTGCTCTTGAAGCAGAAAGGAAATTTTCTGGTTATGCCGCTGTGGCTTCACTAGGTCCGTCCTTGTAGGGACCAGAATGCAGATCCCAGCAGCTTGATGGAAGAATGATGTCTCAGTGGGGTCAGCTCCTAACCACAGTCCCTCTTTTACCTTGGGGAACCATGATTTTCTGCAAAATAAAACATTTCTGTCTTAACTTTCTCTCAAAAATACTTGCCACATTTTGAGTGACTATTTGCCACCTATGCTTAGGCTGCAAATACTCATTTCTCCCATCCTGCCCCCCTCTTTTAAGTTGTTTTTGTAAGTAGAACCTACTCGGTCTCCGTTTTGGTTACTTCAGTCTTCTTCTCATGGAGCTTTTGTCTTAGAAAGCTTTAGAGGTCATGAGATGACCTTGAAGGGGTAGGTGGCAGAGGGATCCCTGGAAGGCCACTTGGACACAAATGACAAAAGAAGAATGCCAGTATGTGAAAAATGCTGTGGAGAGGTTAAATACGAAGACAGTGGTAAGAGCCAGGGATTTAACTCAGTGGTTCTGACACCTGCCTCGCAAGCACAAGGTCCTGAGTTCAATTCCTGGTACCCAAAAAAAAGAAAAAAAACAAAAAGCAGAAGGCCTCTCCATATCACTGTTTGTTTTTGTTGTTGTTTGGGGGATTTGTTGTTGTTGTTGTTGTTGTTGTTTCAGGTCCTTGCGCTTGCGAGGCACGTGACAGAACCACTGAGCTACATCCCCAGCGCTTCCATGTCACTGTTTTGCTCACTTCAGCAGCACATACACTGAGAAAGATGTTAGGACAGGAAGTGGTTATGAGTATTTTAATAAGAGTACAGTGGACCCTCCAATTACGACCAGCCTGACATACAAACTTGGGTTACAGCTGAAATTTTAGTTTTAGTTGTGATCAAAGTCTTGAGTTATGACCCACATGCTGGCCACTTGTGCTTGCAGATGGTCTCAGATACAGATTTAACCCATGAAGAGTCCTGGAAGGAACATTCCAACATCCTCTCCTCTGCAGGGTTCACTGAGAAATCCTGGGCCGGCGTCTCTCTAAGGACACTGAGATTGGCCTGTGTGCAGGAGAGAGACTCTGAAGGCTGTGTAGAGGAGCCTGAGCCTGCAGTGACCAACCTGAGTTATAACCAGCCCTCAGGAATGAATTGAGTTTGTAAGTCAAGGGTCCATTGTACTTCAAGTATTTTAAGTGGGAGAATTTTGGAATAGTAAGTGAGGAATGGTATAAGTTGGCTAGGACTGGATGAAAGGGGGAAATTAAATGACTAAAGAGAAGATTGAGAAAAGGAAAACAAGGGAGACAAAGGCTGGGAAAAAAGAAACAGAAGGGAGGGTCGGGCACCAGCATCTGTCCCAGGCTCTGGACTCTGCTCCCGAAGCCCTTCCCAGCCAGCCCTTGGCCCTCCCCCCTCCTCTCTTCTCTCCTGGCCCAGAGGGTGATCTTTCAGCTCTTCTTGGTATCTGGCCTTTTCCCTGATGTTCCAGATGTCAAGGGAAGAATTCAAAATGACCCCTAAGGCCTGTATTAGAAATATGTCCTGTTTAATGGCTGTGCATTTCGAGAAGCTATTTGTGTAAGGTAGTGGTCATTTTAATTTTTTTAAGTCACTCCCACTTTTCAGAACAAGGAACATCATCTCATAAAAATTTATCAGTGCATCACCATCAGAACAATATCAAACAATACAGGCATAGGTTAAAGCCCTGTATATCAGAAAAGGACCTGGAGGGGGTCCTTTCTGCCTCCCGTCAGGAAAGGGTTAATGCCATTTTTAAATTCGTTCAGAGAAAAGGGTACCACTTCTCTCTGTAACCCACCTTGATAAATCTGATACAGCAACAAGTTGTGTTTCATCCAACGAAACGCTTAGTTTAAATTACTGGATTTAGGTCTGCCGCACACAAGTACTGGATACAGCCACACACTTTAAGGGATGTGCCTACAGTGCAAGAAACCACCACTAGATGGAGAACTAACTTCTGGATTTTTGTTCCTGGACCTTGACAACCACAATCAGTAGATTTGAAGCCTGTGGTGCTAATATAATTGTTAGTAGCACCCTTTCCATATTCTAAAGAATGGATTTTGAAATAATTCTCTAAAAACCGTATGAAAAATATAAGAACTTTTCACTTATTTTAAGGGGTTCCTATAATTATGCAGTTTAATGATCGCATCTAGCAGTTTAATAATTCTCTAACTTCTTTGTGTTTTCCAAGTGTATTTTGCCAACCTCCCATGATTTCAAGCACACTCTGTTCCCATGTGCTCACTCCTAGTATGTGGGAATATATTTGCCACAAAGCACTCATATTATTTTTAAAATGCTCACTCTAAAACTTAAACACCGGAACTAAGTTTGCCTAGCATAACCTTCTTTATATAATTCTATAAACTGGTCCAGTCTGAATTTGTGCATATCTGTGGATAGCTTGACTTCCTGTTAGCATCTGGCAGTAAGTAGACAGCTGCTATAAACTCCTCATCTTTCATTTTATTTCTGTGTAGGAGTAATCAGCATAATGTTATAATCAGATTTTATCTTAGTATGAACTGAATGAGGAATGTATTTCCAAAAGCATATTATAAAGTGAAAGTCAGATTCCAGGGAAGTGGACAGTCTCCCCTGACCTCTCTCCTTTCCACCAGAGTCTGGGTGTTGAAGGCACAGAGTCCTGGCAGCCTTGGTGACACGTGTCCCCAAGCTATTTTGGTTCTTCGATATTTGGATTTTCAGGGCCTCTGGTGCCTGCATCATGGCTACAGAAGCCAAATGTTTCTGTTTGCTTCTTCCAAACTAATTATATCTTCACCCTGACAGCGCAGCCAGCACCCTCATCTGGGCTCCTCCTTTGCTAATTCTATCAAAGCCCTACTTATTTATGGGTTCTGTAGTTTCTCTGTCAACCACTTCTACGTTTTTTTCTTCTCCCAAGAGCAAGCCTAGAGGGAACAAGAAAGGTTGTTTCCTGAAGTTTATATAGAACTCCTAAAATCCTAGTGTTTTCCTCCAAAGGAAAGCGTTTCATGTAGGCACAAGACCACCAGCCACCAGTTCAGTGAGCTCCTTCATAGCAAGTCCTGTTCAACCTTTCATCTGTTTTCTGACTGTGACCTCTTTGCTAATTTTGGGGTACCACCACTGGCTGGCTCATCAGACTTTCTTCCTTTCTTTTCTGGGAAGTTAGATCTCCCAATAAAAAAATTTGACTTGGACAGACATTGCCACAGATCTTAAAGCAAATGCAGCAGGTGACCCCCACTGCTCTGTTCTTTTAGATGCAGCATTTGGTGTTTTTCTTTGCTTTGTTTTCTGTTTCATCATCATTTTCATCCCCTGTAGACTTCCATGAGCTTCTGATGATAGATTGTTGGAGACAGTGAAAACTGAGAATTTTACTGCAAATGATGAGAAAATTGCTTCAAAGTTTCTGTCCATGTACCCCAGTAGTGCTTCTGCTGCTGTTGCTTCTCTTTGTGCTCATAGTCTACTACCTCTAGACGTTTGTTATCAACTGTTCAAGTTTTTATCTTCATCACATCTGGCTAATCTGAGCTTTTTCTTCCTGGGAGCAGTCACTGTGTCAGCAGCCAGCAGAGCTCCCTTGTATGCTGAGATGATGATTCTCTCAGAGCCTGGGGGCTGGTGGCTTATTGCTGTCCTTTATTTCCCCCATCTGAACCACATGATGATGAACAACATTATCATTTTCTACCCCTGCCACGAAGTGAAGAGGCTGGGAGGCTCTGCCAATAGGCAGGACGAATGGGAACCACTTAGAGTCGGAGTGAACCCTCTGGAGCTACAGGAAAAGAAGAAATCGGGGGCACTTGGTGGCTCTGTGGCCTCTCCTGCACCCTCCTCCCCAAGAAGCTAGTGGGCCAGCTGTGTCCCTCCGTGAGAAAGGAGTGATAGTTAGCAAAGCTTCATCACTTTGGTTGTTTCCTCACCATTGTCATCTTGGAAACTATTCCTCACGCGTAACACTTGTCTTCACTGACATCGTTTATTGATTTTATGATGTGGATAAGGTACATTTTTTAATTCCTTTATGAGGTCAGGCTCCTGGAGATAGATGATAGATAGATAGATAGATAGGTAGATAGATAATAGAGGACAGATTAAGAGATAAAAAATTTTTCCAATAAGTCCACGTGTCGAGTGACAGGACCGAGGTAACTTCAGTGTTATCTGAATGAATCATATGGCACGGGAATAGTAACAGGCTGGCTGACCTCTAGCTTCCCGCTTTCCCTCGACTTTGTTCCCCTCCAAGGAGGTGACCCTTTGGGGTCAAAGTCGGAGGGCAGCTGGCACCTTAAGGCTTGGTGTCAAGTCCTATTGCTCTAACAGAAAAAATTCATCCAAGAGAAGGAAAGAATAACCATTAGTGTCCCTTGAAATGTTTTCATTAAAAGAATCGTTTGTGTTTTAAATACCTAATAACAAATGTACATGCTGCTCATAGACATGCATGTTCTGAACACTTACCGTGCACCTACACACAGGAGAAAGATTCGCTCTGTTGTCAGCAAACGCCCTGCTCAGGAGAGGGCTTTGTGGGTAAGGACAGAATAGAACACATACCATTCAGAAAGCATTGGGCTGGGGATTTAGCTTAGTAGCACCATGCCTGCCTCCCAAGCACAAGGTCCTGAGTTCGATCCCCAGTAGCAAAAAAGAAAGGAGTACAACTTGAACAGCACTTAAGATAACATTTTCCAGGAAATAAACTACAGAGCGCCTAGAACTAGGCAGGCAGAGATGAAGCCAGGTGTGCCTCTTTACACCAGCCCCACTAGACCAGACCCTCTCTGAGCACCCAGAACTGCCAGTCTCAGCTACCCAGCAACATTCCTAAGTGCTGAAAGTAACAGTTATCTAAATTCCCCCAAGTTAGTCCAAGGGAAGAATCTCTTCAGATATTACATGCCATTGGCAAGTTGAATAGTAGAAAGTGTTTTATTTCCAACAAAATACCATTCTTTGCTGTTTAAGGTTAAAAATCAAAGTTTTTTACTCATGTTATGATTAGCACCCTAATCCTTTAGGGTTAGCCAAAAGGTGGGAACAGCTCTTGACCTTCAAGTAACAGTCTGGGAGTATGCTGGATATCCAGGTGACAGGTGTTGAGGAAAATCCTATCTCTATGTATATTTAGTGACCAATATGGGAGCATTGGGTCTTTAAGTCGGCTCTGTAAAACACAATGCCCGCCACCGAATTACTAGGGGACTAATGGTTCCAAATCTCCAATTTCCAGGGGCCGGGGATTTAGCTCAGTAGTGCCGCTGCCTGCCTTGCAAGTGCAAGGTCCCGAGTTCTGATCCCCGATACCAAATGACAAATCTCCAATTTCCAAATGTCTATGGCAGTGACTAATTTCAAGGAGGTGATCCTTTTGTGAACTAAATACTGAGCTATGGGATAAACTAGAAAAACACCTACAAGTTACGTCTGTGACCTTTTAAGGTACATGATGATACTGTGGAGAATCACTTGTATAAACTCAGAGGTAAGAGGTCAAATCAACTGGTTTAAGGAACTGAA